CAGCAGCAGCAGCAGCAGCAGCAGCAGCAGCCTCAAGGGCTAATGCCTGATTGCGCCCAGAGCGAACTCGTTCTGCACCTCCCGCTGACGGGCGCAGCTGCAGGGCAGCTTCCCCTAGGGGTGTCCAGCGGCCTCACAGACCTGCTTGCTGCCACCGCGGCGCGTGTGGCCGAGGCTGCAGATGCCATGAAGTCGAGCTGCGGCGGCAGCTTGGGTGACTTTGGGCACTCCGAGGCGGGCGCGGCGGCGGCGCGGGCCGCGCTGGCGCAGCAGGAATGGGAGGGGCTGCAGCAGCAGGCGGGGGGGGCGTCGTGGCGGCAGCAACAGCAGGAGCGCGTGGGAGGTTGTGTTGAGATGAAGGCTGGGCCGAACCTTAATGCGGAGGAGGTTGCCGCTGCATCAGAGGAAGGAGAAAAGCGGGCTGCATTAGAGTCCACCACACCAGCAGCAACGGCAGAGTTGGAAGCAGCAGAAGCCAACAGACAAATATCAGCATCGGCAGCTGCCAAAGCAGCCGTGCCGGAATCTGCCGCTGAGACGAATATTGTGAGCTGCAGCGCAGCATTTGCAGTGGGCAGCTTGCAGCCGTGGGACGGCCTGCGCGGCCTCGGCACGGCGGCCGCGGCTGCGCAGAATGGCGCGGCCGGCGCGTCTCCGGGGAGGGCGCAGGCGTTGGAGCGGCTGCGGCAGCGGCTGGGGCTGTCTTCCAGCCGGGTCGAGCGCGCCCTGCAGCACCGGCAGCAGCAACAGCAGCAGCAGCAGCAGCAGCAGCAGCAGCAGCAGCAGCAGCAGCAGGAAGAATGGGGCAGTGTCATGCGCGATTCTCCTCAGCGGCTCGACGCGTTGCGCCCCAGAAGCGCCCCCGGCTCCCCTGCACGCGGCCGCGCGCCGCCGCACGGGCCGAGCGCGGGCGGCGCGCGGGGCTGCCGGCTGCAGCAGCGCAGCGAGCCTAGCGCGCCGGCGGCCTCGCCCGCACGTGAACGGGTGCTTGTTGGCGGGCGTGGCTCCCTTTGGAAATGTCTGGGGCCGTTGGCTGACGGCATGGGTCAGGTGCACGCGCTGCTCGCCTCCATCCGGCTCCCATCGGGCGCCCATCAGGCCGATGCACTGCAAATTGGTGAGCGAGACGAGGGCGGAAGCGATGAGGGCGGCGCGGCGGGCGCGGGGCCGCACGTGGCAGCTGCGGCGCAGCCGTGCACGCCGGCGGGTCAGCAAAACGGCGCCATCGACGACGAGCAGCTTCCCTCTGAGCGGCTTCTGGACCAGCTGCAGAGAGAGGCAGGCCGCAATGGCCGGCACGGCGGTGGCGAGCAGGCGGCGCAGCAACCAGGGGCTGGGTTGGGCCACTCTGATTTGCCAGGCCCGATGGTGGAGGTCGCAGGCAGCTGCCCCATCACGCTGTCCCTGGACCAGGCGGCAGCCCTGCTGCTGCTGAGCCGCGGCGGCGCCCGCGTGGAGGCTGCGTCCAGCGGCGACGCGCCCGGCGGCGCGGCGGGGATAGGGGCGGCATTGGCCCCGGGGGCGGCGGCGGCTCACGTGGTGATCCGCAGCTTGCGGGCAGGGGCGGGCGAGGACGAGGCAGAGGGGATTCTTGCGCGGCAGGGTGTGGGCGCCCTGCTGCTGGCCGCGGCCGGCTGCGTGTTGCGGCAGCAGCGGGCGGAGCAGTTGGGCCGGCGGCGCGAGCTGGAGACGCGGCTCGAGGAGGTAAGACGATCCAGAACGTCCCCTGCTATCATGGATGCCTGTTGTATAAATGAGCGCGGGAGATGGAATGGACAGACATCCTGCCTATTTCCATTGGTATGAGTCCACGTACGTGGGGCTGACTTGTTTTGCTCAGGGGAGCACCGTCGTGTGCGCTCCCGCAGGTGCGCCGCGAGCTGTGGCAGCAGCAGGCCGTCGCGGAGCACAGGGCAGGAAGGATGAGAGCCAACAGCGTTGGCAGGAGCGGCGGCAGCAAAGCAGTGGCCGTCTCAAGCCCTGGCCGCGGCGCGAGCGCCCGTGGCTCGCCGCCGCGCGCCCCGGCGGCCGGGGCGCCCCGCGCCTCCGCGGCCGGGCTGCCCCGCGCCTCTGCGGCCGGGGCGCTGCGCGCCTCTGCAGTCGGGG